CTGGTATCCCTATTATATGGATATTATTATGTTTTAGGTTATCTTGCATTTCCCTCAATGCATTTTCATTCTTTTTGAGTCTTTTTTCATTTTCTTGCTTTCTGGGAGCTTTTCTCTACCTTGTCGTTGGGCTCACTGATTCGTTCCTCTGCTTCATCTAGCCTGCTTTTGATTCCTTCTACTGTTCTTCAACTCACAAATTGTATTCTTAATTTCCTCTTGTCTCTTATTGAGAGTTTCTATGTCCTTTTTCATGCTGATGCAGTTTGCAGTAAGTTCTTCGTAGTGTCCCTGTAGTTTTTTGTAATTCTCTCTGAGCTCACCAAGGTCATTGAGCTTCCTTAGAACCACTGTTTGGAACTCAGTATCTGATAGTTTACCTGCCTCTATTTCGTTTAATTCTCTTTCTGGGGATTTCTCCTTTCCCTTTGAGTGGGGGGTGTTTCTTTTTATTCCCATTATTTGTGAGGCTCTTCCTTTTTGCTTCTGCCTATTAAGTTGATCTGTCTTGATTTCCTGACTTTGTGGTATGAACTTCTACTGCAGGAGACTACTGTTTTTTTTCTTTCTGGATCTACCTCTGATGATATCAGATGTCATCCCTGTCTGACCTTAGGCAGTCTGTTCAAGACTTCCAGTACTCTACTGTTTGTGGCTGTCTCCTTCAGCTGTTAATCTAGTCACTCCACACTCAGGAGGCTGCCTTAGACAGCTCAGGGCAGGGCAGAATCCCTTCTGGCAGCAGAGTTATTGGGTCCCCTTATGCTGCAGCTGTATGGGGGAGGAGTCAGCACTGGGATCCCACCGGCTAGTCTCTCCATTCTCTCCCCAAAGCCTCCATCCCCAGTCTCTCCTCAACTGTCTCCAGACCTCTCTGCATCCCCTTTAGCTAGGGATCTACTGTCTATGGCTGCTACTCTGCACTCAGCAGGTGGCTTAGACAGCACAGGGCAGGGTGGAATCCCACCTGGGGGTGGGGTTATTGGGTCCTCATAAGTTGGTGACATTGTGGGGAGTGGTCTCTGCCTGAGCAAGATGGCTGCTGCCACATGGGGGTAAGTCAGCAGCAAGATCCCACTGGCTACTCTCTCAGTTCTTTCCCCAAAGCCTCCTTCCCCAGTCTCTCCTCAGGTGTATCTGGCCCACTCAGCCCCCGCCTTTACCAGAGACCAGGGTAAGTGTTTGAAAATAAAAATTTTGCATTGGCCCTTTAAAGGCTCTTTGTGTGTCCAGCTGCCTGTCTCTTGCAGAGAGCAACCCTGCTGCTTTTCACAGCTGGCTGTTTTCTGTGTACTTTTTGGGTTCTGGTGCTGTAGGCTAGAGATCCTCGCTTTTCGTTTAGACCCCGCTCTTCTCAGGGGGATCCAACAGGCCATTTCAATATCCTTCTGGTGCTGATGCCCATGGGCGCCCCGCCCACCTTCTCAAGTCTGTACCACACTCCTTACCAGTTAGATTGTGCTCAAGCCAATTCTGTGTCCTAGGTTACAAGGCTTCCCTCTCACCATCGTTCAGTTGTTTGTTCCAGGTGATTTCTCCACAATTTAGTTGTAATTCCAGGTTGTTCCAGTGTGACTTCTACTACTCCTCCATCTTGATTCCCCCTGATTTTCTTAATATTTACTGATATCTATATGCTATTTCTGATGTTCTTCACCCTTTCCTAAACATCTGAGCTTCCCTCTGGTGTCATTTTATTTCAGGCTTAAAAACTTCATCAGCACTTTTTTTTTTTTTTTTTTTTTTGTAGTATAGCTCTGCTGGCAGTAAATTCTTAGAGTTAAAAAGAGTCCTTTTTTCACCTTCATTTCTGAGGGATATTTTTGCTGGATATAGTATTTCAGGTTGAAAGTTTTTTCTTTCAACACCTTAATGCCAATTCCACTGTCTTCTGACACCACCGTAGTTTCCGATGAAAACCCACAGTGATGCAAATTGTTATTCCTCTGTTTGTAATGTGTTGCTTCTCTCTGGCATTTTCAAGTTTTTCTCTTATCTTTGGTTTATAGCAGATAACATTACAAGGTGAAGTTTTCTTCATACTCCTTTTGATGTTTACTGAGCTTATTGAGTGTACCTTTTATGTCTTTGCCAAATCTCTAAGGTTTTCAAGCCATTATTTATTCAAATATTTATTGTGTCTCATTCCCTTTCTATTCTCTTTCTGGAATTCCAGTTACATGTACATTATATCTTTTGGTATTTTCCAATAAGTCTCTGATGCATTTTTCATTAGCTGCCCCCCTTCTTCAGATTGAACAATTTGTATTGATTTATCTTTAAATTTGTTCTTTCCTCTTTCATTTCCATTCTGCAACTAAGGCCACACAAGGGATTTTTAAAATTTAAGATGTTGAGGTTTTCAGTTCTAGAATTTTCATTTGGCTCTTTTTTATATTTTCTGTTTCTCTGCTGAGACTGCCTTCATTTCCATTGGGTTTTCCTTTTATCTATTGAGGGTAATTATAAGAATTACTTTAAAGTTCTTTTTGGGTTAAGTTCAATATATGGATCATCTCAGGATTAGCTTCTTAATTATTTTTTCCCTTTCCTGTTTCTTTGAATGTTAATAAATTTTAGATTGTATCCTGGACATCATGATGTTTTGTTTTGGAGAATCTGAGTTTTGTTATATTTGCAAAAGTGTTGATGTTTTTGTTTTAACAAACAAGCAACTTGATCAGATTCAAGTTGCAAACTCTATCTCATCTGTGGGCGGCACCGCCTCCTCAGCTCAATTCTTTTATGCTTAGCTTCAAGCTGCTTTGAGCCTGTACCATGCAGGTGTGGTACAGCAATTGTCCGGAGACTTGGGCAGTCTATACACAAAATTTGGAGCTTTCCTCTCCGTTGTGAGATTTCTTTCCTCACTTTTCTGTGGCTGTGGCTGACCCAGGTATTTCTCTGGTTCTTCAGCAAAAAGACTGTGGGATTTCTGTTAATTTAGTTAACGTGCACTGTGGTGTGAGTGTTGCCTACCTCAAGCTAATGCCTTAAAAACAGGAAACTCACCACCAGTGCTGGTGCCTCCTTCCCAGTTTCAATTCCTCACCAAAATCTACCAACTTTTGTTCACTTTCCAGAACCTTCAGATAGTTGCTTGTTATTTTGTTCTGAGTTTACAGTTGTTATCAGTATGGCTGTCAGTTCTGTTAAGACCTCACTCTGCCATACTAGAGGCAGTATCCTCCAACACTATTTTTTTTTTAATACTCTTTTAATTTTGAAATAATTTCAGTTTTTCAGAAAAATTATAAAGGTAGTACAGAAAGTTTCTTTTATACCTCCCACCCAGTTTCAGTTTCCTCTCATCTTATCCTCTTATATTGTCATGGCACATTTGTCAAACTAAGAAACCAATAATGGTGCAATACTGTAAACTTAACTTGACTATTTCACCAATTTTTCCATTAATGTCCTTTTTCTACTCTAGGATCCAATCCAGGATATGGCACTGCATTTAGTTATCACATTTCCTTTGTGTCTAGTCTATGACAGTTTCTATGTCTTTTCTTTCTTTTTTCTTTTTTTTACCTTCACAGTTTTGAGTACTACTGGTCAGGTAACCTATAGAATATCCCTTAATTTGAGTTTATCTGGTGTTTTCTCATGATTAGACTGGGGTTATGTGTTTTGAGAAGGAATGCCATAGAGGTAAATTGTTCTTTTCATCACATTCTATCAAGGGATACATGATATTCACATGACATTACTAGTGATGTTAACCTTAGGGTATTTGGTTAAAGTATTCTACTTTTGGAGGAATACGATGTATGTGAAACTTGTTTCCATATTTTCCCTTCTTTGTAAAAGAAGTTTCATGGAAACTCCTTCATTAAGGATGTATAGTCCTACCTCTCACTTGAAATTGCTTCCTTTCACCTATAAGTTCAAGGAGATTAAGCAATTAAAAATGATAATATCTAGGGAAGTTTATCATGGAAAGGAAGATAGTCAGAGAATGTTTCTTCCAAATAAGTTCTTAAAGTCTTGTGGTGGCCAACAGTGCATAACACAATTTAATGACATGTCTTTCCATTATTAGAAGATTAGTAGCTTGGAAAATTTTAGTTATCTGTCTTTAGGATGATATTTGAAGAGTTTGGTGGTAGTGGGGAGAGAAAAATCCAAAAAAAAAAAAAAAAGCATTGTGTGCATGTGATGAACATCAACTCTTTTAAAGTGTAAAACAAAGATTTGACTTGCAAGTACACTTGTTCAAAATCACAGTTATGTGTTTTGGTATGCTCAACCTTACTGAGAAGTGCCAATTTAGCATGTTGAGGATAAGAGCACAAAGATTCTCCATTCATTCTCCAACCCCATCCTAGCCAGGGAGTGAATCTTAGAAAACTAACTTGAACTTCTTGAATCATAAATTTGCTTTTGATCATCACATCTCTACAGGTACCAAATGAGAACCTGATGTACAATTCAGGCACCATTTATATCATGACATTAATTTTATTTCAATACTTAAAAATAATTTCTTTAGAAAATTTGGGAGTATAAACCAGTTATTCAGATGTAATTGGACTATTTTATAAAATTTCTTTCAGTAAAGGTCTATTTTAGTAGTTTGAAAATTCCAACTCAAAAGCACAATATGTAAAACAATACCTAGACATTAGGACAGGGAATGTTGGAGAGGGGGTTCTAGAGTTCTGATATCTCCATTCATCTTCCATAGTCCTGAAGGTGTTTCAGCAGTCTCTTTAAAAATCACAAGTCAAGATAAATGACTCCCAGACTTCTCAGTATCTACCATTACTTTTCACATATTTTAATAAAAAGCTCTGGGAGAAACATAGAGCATGCAAGTTCTTTACTAGGGGTGTGTCAAAGGTGAGTTACTGACATCAGCATAACTCAATCAGAATACAATATTTTCCTTTAAAAAATCAAAACAAAATTTAATTAAATTTTTTCTCTCCATCCCAGAAATTATACAGCTGACTGTATTTCATTGGAGCTAACTCATAAACAAGCTATATTCTTACCTGAAGGTGGCCACAAAGTTCACTGTGGGCCAGCCCACGACAAAGGATCTCATGGCATCGGTGTTGCCTTCTCCCACTTCATCCACACAGCTTGCTGTCCACATGTCACTTAACTTTATTTTATTTTTTATCTTAAAGTTGTTGTTATATCTAGGAAGGTAAAAACCAGACAAAGCTTATTATTTTGTTTCTTAAATTTTATGAGAGTTTCTGTACTTGTGATAAGAGAACAGTTTAAACTAATCAAGGCAAAAGATATCTTATTCATTGTTTTTATCTTCAGTGCTTACTACCATGAATTGTAGTATGGTTGGCTACTATGGCCCGAAAAAGGTCTTTAAAACATTTGATGTGTTAGTCCTCACGCCTGCATTTAGCTATAAACTGGCTACTTTATTTTTCTTTATGTTGAGCAATGCATTTAGATCAAAATCCTAATTTTAAATTTACTATCATAAAAAAATTAATTGATTTATTATTTATAATTTGCTCACTTCCAAAAATATGTGAGTACCCAAACGAGATTAAAATACACTTTATTAATTAAAATATTTATAAAACTTTTACCTTAATAGAAATAGATATATTAGAAAAAAATACAACCTGAAATTAGAGGAATTTACAATGCATTACCAGCTGAGTAGTTACAAGATTTTCTAGTCTTTAGAAGCAAAAGTTATTTGAGATTTTGTTTGTACCATTTCCTCTTAAATTCTGGCTAAAATGGAAAAAAAAAAACCTAGCCTAAAAACAGACGCTACACTAAACTGTAAGAGAAAAGGAGGCCAGTAAGTATATATTTAAATAGAACTGACATAATTGGTATACCTCTGGGGACCCAAAAGGTGATCTACTTTAAGTTGGCAATGAAATTGCTTTTTGACAATTTCTACGTATCTCCCTTAGAACCCTAATACTGACACCACCATATCACTTGACCTAATTCACATATTTAATGCTTATAATGGACCTAAGGCATAAGTAGTTAGAAGGTGCTGGGAAGGATAAAGAGAATGCCCAGGGTAACTTGGGTACTTCCTATCATTCAGAGCCATTTGTAGAAACACTAAAAGCTAAAATGAAATCAAAGATAATTCATATGGAAGTATTCCTAAAACTCCTCATGGAATGTTTAAAGCTAAAATTCCTTAGTAGGATTTATAAAATGAAAAAGGATTTTGCAGGAACTATGCATGAAGGATAATCTATATTCAAAGCCTCATTTATGCTTCCCATAGGGCACACTCAATGTAAGTGTAATAGAAGAATGCCTGGTGGCACAATGGCTTCCTTCTATATTTCATTTCAATATTTTTCACTCTATTGTTATGGGTCTTTCAAATTTTTTTAATTAAACAGTCAACTGAAGATGAAATCTTATTTTTCTTTTTAAAATCTTATCTCTTGATGACAACTATTTAGGTAATATAAAACTTAAACTACAAAAAAAAAAACCAAACTTAAACTACAAATCTTTTGAAAAAAAGGTGTGTCTTCATATCTGTTTTCATTCATTTTGTGTTTTCTAATGCAGCTCTCTTTCTACATTAGATAATTCAGATACCATGTGGGAAGTGCCACATCTATTGACCTGAAAAAAAGTTATTCCAACGATTCTTTGCCTAGGTCAGTAAGGGGCCAAGATTATCCATTTCCTGAAATAATAACAAGGCATCAAAAAGTGTAAATAATGACTTCCATTATAATGGCTAATATTTATTGGAAACTTGTCATGTGCCTGTCATTGTTATAAGTGCTTTACATATATTATTTAGCTTAATCCTCAGGCGTTTTACAGATAAGAAATAGAGTCATGGAGAGATTAAGACACTTGCCAAAATTCAAACAGCTTAATGAGCAGAGGTAGAGTCTGAATGTGAATGTGAGCAGTGTTGATTCCTGAGCTTATTTATGCTCTTAAACACTATGCATCTATAAAAGGCCCTGGCTGGGAATATAGTTCCATGAAGTTTCCTTCAGCTTTTATATCTTCAGTCCTACTCTCTCCTCTCTCCGAACCTACAAGTTCTCTCTCTCTCAAGGATCTTGGGTTCATAACTCCCCTTCCCTCAATTAACTTAGATCAATCACACTTTTAAATATTTCCAATGAATGTAGAACATACTTAAAATAATCTTTTATGAATTGAATCACTTAAATAAGCACAGTATTAAATCAACTGACACAGGTTTTTTCACCTCACAGAAACATTTAAGTGGACATAAAGAGCTATCTTTGAAGCAGTATGTGGTAAAAGAACGACGTATGCCTTATGTGAGAAAGGAACAATCAAAGAGTTGGGTACAGAGGCAGATGACAAGCACAGATTTTGCCAATATATCTAAAATAGCAATTTTCTAGTGGGAAAGAAACTGTCTTTTCATTAAAAGTTTTCAGCAAAACGTTATATAGTTTACATAAAACCACTTAGACACTGGCAATACTCAGAACAATGACTTCTGGTAAGAAAACAAAAGACTGAAACTGATAATTGTTGAGAAAAAAATCCAAAAAAGGCGAAGGAAAATACCTTCTTTCATAAGAACTGAATTCATGTTAAAGTAAATAGTTTTTAAGGTCCCAAAGTGCAGAAAATGGATTATTATAAATTTTCATTCCTTGTTTATCTACTTTTTGGCTGAACAAAAAGCTATGCGCAAAGTACAGTGCAGAACAGTATAAAGGGCCAGCCACTGGAAGTAAGGCCTAGATTAAAATCCTAGCTCTACTATTTTTTGGTATGGTGATTTTTAACTAGTGTGCTACAGAATTTTTAAAACAGGCATTACCTGTCCATTTGTTCAGGGGCACTGGCCTCTTTTCCCTTAGATTGTCAAATTAAAAAATGACAACAGCCATCCAGTACGAATGAATCAAAATTATATCTATATTATGTCAGATTGGCAAAAAATATATTTTTTGGTGTGCTGCAGCATTTTAGTAATTCATTTATGTGTGCCATGAGATGGAAAGGGTTGAAAATCGCTGTTCTAGTACATGACCTTGGACAAACCTCCCTTCTCCCTGAGTTTCAGTGTTTAATATCTAACACCACTCTTGTCTTAGGGTTTTGTTAAGAAAATTAAATTACATCTTTGTGATTCTCTTATTATATAATATGTAGCATATAGAAGCCATGCCATACATTTTAAATAAAAGGATAGTAACTAATGTACATTTTGAAAAAATAATGGTTTGTTCCTTTATGAATAGCCTCTGTTAATAGCATAGAGTTTCAAATGGACTTAGTACAAAGGCTTGGATAGAGAGACTTTTTCTATATTTTTCATAAGATCATCTCCATTTCTAAAACTACATTTGCAGGTATTACTCCTATTTAAAAATACATTCTGAGCTTTAGTTTCATCCCACTGTGCATGAAAAAGACACATGGTAAAATTTCAATCTCATTAAGTTTGTTAATAAGACTTGAGATATCACCTCATACCTGCTAGGATGGCTATTATTTAAAACAACAATGACAAATCCCCAAACAAACAAATAAAAAAAGCCAAAAAGACAACAAGTGTGATGCAAATATGGAGACACTGGAACCCTTATACACTGTTGGTGGGAATGCAAAAAGGGCACTTACTATGGAAAACACTATGAAGGTTCTGGAAAAAATTAAAAATATAACTGTCATATGATCCACCAATCCCACTTCTAGGTATTTATCAATGGATTAAAATCTAGATCTTGAAGAGACAGCAGCATTCTTCTTTTTTTTAAAGATAATTTTTTAAAAAGATTTTATTTATTTTTAGTTTTAGAGAGAGGGGAAGAAAGGGAGAGAAACATCAATGTGTGGTTGTCTCTCATGCACCCCCTACTGGGGACCTGGCCTGCAACCCAGGCAAGTGCCCTGACTGGGAATTGAACCAGTGACCCTTTGCTTCACAGTCCAGTGCTCAATCCACTGAGCCACACCAACCAGGGCGAGATACCAGCATTCTTATGTTTGAAGCAGCACTATTTACAACAACCAAGCTGTGCAAGAAATCTAATTATCCATTGATGAATAAATGGATAAAGAAAATATGCCATACACAAACAGTGGAATATTATTCAGCCTTAAAAAGGAAATTGTAAAATATATGACAACATGAACGAACCTAGAGGACATGATGCTAAGTGAAATGAGACAGTTACAGAATGACACGTATTGCATGATTCCACTAGTATGAGGTATCTAAAATAGTCAAACTTATAGAATCAGAGTGGAATGTTGGTTGCCAAGGGCTGGGGGAGGGAGAAAGGGGTGAGTTACTAATTAATGAGCATTAAGTTTCAGTTATACAAGAAAATTCTAGAGATCTGATGTACAACATTGTGCCTATTAGTTAATACTGTATTGTACACTTCAAATTTTGTTAAGAGGGTAGATCTCATTTTAGGTGTTACCCCACATAAAGACCTTTTACCTAAGGAAGAAAATCCAACACTGTATGAAACAGTTTTCTTTATCTTTGCCTCTTAAAAATATCAACAGTTTACTAAGCATTTATATCATTTCTCCATAGATGAGTACTTATTAGATCCTTTTATTCATTGAAAAAAGAGAAACTGTTTTAATGGTTAAAAAAACTAAATGAGTAATCTTCTAAGAAATCCATAAGAAAAGAGGTAACAGAGACAGCAGACCACATATTGGTTAAAAGCATGGATTTTGAAGTAAGACAGACTTAGGTTTAAATGTGGGCTCAACTAATTACTAACTCTGTGATCTTGAAGAGGTCACTTAATGTCTCAGAGTATCAATTTCTTCTGTAAAATGAGAAATATAATATTGACCTGATGGAATAGTTGGAAGAGTTAAAGTCTCTAGAAAAATACCTAACATAAAATAAGATCCCAATAAATGTGAGGTCTCTATTATTATTATCACTCAGATTAAACATAGCATTTTTCAAAATTTGTATTTAACCAGGCCTATGTCTTATTTATAACATTGCTTAATTTAGGTGTAAAAATGTGGGTAGCAGAAATACCATATTCTAGTGACTAAAAATCTCTTTGATGAGATTAGATTAGTTAAAATACTGTTTTTATGATTTTTCATAAACAACGAGCATAGCAGATGGAACAAGTGGCAACCACCATGTTCTTGGCTGGGTGTTAACTGCATTGGCATTTAGGGCTGAGTGGAAGTGAATTCTTTTGGTATTCTCTAAACCGTATTCTAAATATGTCTGTATCCCTCACTGAATTGCCATTTCTCCAGATAAAGACCTCATTACCTCTTATCAGGTCTACTACAATAACCTCCTGTCCAGCCTCTTCACTTCTATTTGTGCATATTCTCTAATCTATCCATTAGCTCTCACAGCCAGAACAGTATTTTAGAAATATGAACCACATTGTACTACTATCCCAATTAAAACCCTCTGGAATAAAATACAAACTCCATATCATAGCCTGTGTGATACGTAGCTTCCGAGATGGCCCCCGATGATCTCCTTTCCTAATGGTCACACCTTGAGTAGTTCCCTTCCACACTGTACCAAGGATGGTCTGTGTGGCCAATAGTATATGTCAGAAATGATGGTACGAGACTTCCAAAATCAGCTTATAAAAGGCTATATTCTCCATTTTGGATGTTTTCTCATTTGCCTACTCTCTTTCTCATTCTCTTGGCTCTTTCTCTCTAAGGAAGCAATACCATGTGGTGAGCAGCCCTATGGAAGACCCAAGTGGAAAAGAACTAGAGCTGCAGGCCAATAGCCAATGAGGAATTGAGGCATGCCAGCATTCATGAGTGCGCTGGGGCGTGGACTCTTCAGCTCCAGTTGAACTTTAGAGAAGACTATAACCCTGGTTGATAGCTTGACTGCAACTTCATGAAGGTCCCTGGGTCAGAACCACAGCTAAGCCACTCCCAGATTCCTGACTCAGAGAAACTGTATGTGATGTGCTTAATTTTGTATTGTTATTTTTCAGGGGTAATTTGTTATATGGCAGTAGATAATCAAAACAGCCTACAAAGGTCCTGATAACCTAACCTTTGTCTGTTTCTCCTATCTCAACTCATATTCCTCTCTTCCTGCTCATTACGCTCCAGTTACATACATAGGCAGGCCTTCTTCTAACTCCTCCAAAGGGCCAAGCTTTTCTTACCACCTTTGTGCCTGGTATTCCCCCTGCCTAGAATGCTCATCCTCCTAATATCTGTATGGCTGGTTGCTTTCCATCCTTCAGTAATTTTTTCCCTCTAACTACATCTACCTAACATATATCTCATTTTTACTTCTTCCAGCACACTATTTTCTTCATAGAAATATCACAATCTGTAATTAATGCCCCCCCAAAGCCATTAAAATGAAAGCACAAAAAAGCAGGGACCATACCCATCACATTCTTCGGTGTATCTCCAACATTTATGCAGAGTGTGGCACAGAGTGGGACTTAAATGAACACTTACTGAATGAATAAACAATTGAAACATTTTTTGCAAAAACAAAAGAAACATAAAACTCACTTCAGCTATTAGCTGCCAGAATAGAACCCAGACATTCTTACAGTGGGCACTGAATAGAAAGGTTATTTAGTCAGTGGAAGTGCAACTTTATAATGACATCTAGGAGAGAGTGTAAAGTATACTTACTTGCTTTTGGCCACAATGAACAGATCATTGAACAGGAAAAGATGCCGCTCCTGCCTTTGCAGGCCTCTTTTGAGTTCCACTCGGCCATCAATTAGCAGAGTCCTATTGGAGCACACAGATGATGACAGAAATGAGTCCATGCTAGCAGAAGGACTCTCCCTGTAACAGATTGAACATCACAGATCCTTAGTCAAATGACCACATATGGGATTGAGTGCCCATAAAATTATAGTTTATAGTTGGTCAAGAAATATAAAATTCTATAATTTTTTAATGCAATGACATAGTTTCTGAACTGGTCTTCCAGTGTATCTCCACATAATAGTCTAACATTTTATTATGAAAAATTTTCAAAACATAAATCAAAATTGGAAGCTTTGTAATAAACACATTATGTATACCCAACCTATGTTCTACCACTAAAACTTTACTATACTTGTTTTAATGTACCTATCTACCTTTCCTTCCATCTACTCATTAATCCATTTTATTTTTGGCATTTCAATGTGGACTACATACAGTGGTACATTTCCCATTGAAATACTTCAGCATGAACATCATTAACTAGATTTAAGTATTTATAATTTTTAAAAATTCCATGTTATCTTACTAACCAATGTTACCCAAATAAATTTAATACAAATAAAAATAAAAAATGCACGTGGAACCATGAAAAATGTATGCACAAATCTTAGGTGCATATTCACTGAGTTTGGATAAAGGTATTCACCTGTGTAATCTAAACCTGTATCAAGATGTAGACCATTATCATCACTCCAAACAATTTCCTTTTCTCCCTTCTCAGTTGTTACGTAAATTAGCTGAAGATGGCCTCTATGTACTAGTCCCTGGGTTGTTTATTTCTTCACTGCAGACTGAGATTCATTAATGAAAAAGTCTGCTGGAACCAAACTCAAAATTTTATATACTAAATTATTTTTAAAATAGCCCAAACAAGCAGATCATTTAGCCATTTACAGTTTGCTTGCTTTGCATACTCCACAAAACTATGCCCAACATTTGCTATCCATTGATAAGATAAAGTCTTGAGGTTGTAAGACCCCACATCACTACTGCCCTTTGGAGCTCTCTGACCCAGAGATTTCCAACCTTGCTACAGAACTAGACATGTAATCTCCAGAGAAATCCTCTTCAATCTCCATCACTTCAGGAATTCACTTGCCCTGCTCCCCATCTAGATGGTGGCCCGTTGGCCACAAGCCTAGAGTTTCATGCTGTGAGGGACTTTCTTTCTTGTGCAATCTTGTCCAATGGTCATATCCTTATCCTTGATCAGCCTCCAAATCCCTCAAATTCCTTACAAAAGTCAACCCCTACCCTATCACCCTAACGGTGGCTACTATTCTGATTTTTTTCTCCACTGAAGATTAGTTCTGCCTTTTCTAGAATTTCATATAAACAGAAGCACAGATTTTGTCAGGGTCTCCATCAAGGTACAGGATATAACAGGCCATGCTCTGTCATCACCAGTATCTGGTTCACATGGCAGACACAATAAATGGACAGGTTGGCTTATTTATATTTCTTGCCTTTGAATAGTATTGTGTTAGGCGATTAGAAGACATAAGCAGAGCAAGGATGACAAGCCAGGTACAGAGGGTCACCAGGTGGAAAGCCCTGGTTGCCAGCAACAGGCAAAACTGGGAAAACAAGGATCTCACTCCCGGCATATCACTGGTCATGTGGTTTAGACTCCCTTAGAAGGGGAACAAACAAGGGGGCTAGAGAATAGCCCTTAAACATTAAGCCTCCAGAACAATGAAGTTCTGACCCTCATCAAATACATACAGGCCTGAATTGTATTTCACCTCTAGGCCCAGAAAAGCAGCAAAACCAGACAAGCAATGCCAAGGCTGACCTCAGGACCAGCTGCATTGTCTAATGACTCCTTCCCTGGCACCAACCTATCAGTAGAGACCAACCCTGAAGGATACACCTGGGAAGCTGATGAACAGTCTATTGAGATTCTCCCCCAAAATATCCACCCTTAAAAGCCCTTAGGACAGATGACCTGATGCAGCTCTCCCTCCCAAGAACATGCCTGTGCCTTTTGTCTCCTCCTTTTCTTCTCCCTTCCATGTGCTTTACCTTTACTTTCCTCTCCCTTAAGCTATAAGGGCCCTTCTTTTGCCTCTGTAACTTCTTTCCTGAGCCCATTCCTTCTAGAGCTCACATCTACCTTTATGACTTTCTGAATACAACTTTCTCTTAGAGTTTGAGTCTTGACTCTGATTTCTTTCTTAGCCAGAACTCAAGTACTGAGGATGCCGAATCAAGGTCCAGTCTGACTCCACTGGTGCTTTTTTCGTTTTGTGACCCACAGTATGGGTCACAGTGTCTAATCTCCCCTGGGTACACTAAAAGAACGAAGACCACACACTATCCTGATAACTCTCTGAAGTAATGCCTTAATGATTAGCCATTCCTTCCTCTGTTGTAGGTGTTTGTAAAGTGTGTTCTCCTGCAAGCAGCATCAGCACTAACTGGGAACTTTTTAGAAGTGCAAATTCTCAAGCCCACCTCAGACTTTCTGAATCAGAAACTCTGGAAGGTTAGGTTAGCATTCTGTATTTTAACAAGGCATTTAGATGATTCTAACACACACTGAAGTTTGAGAACAACTTATGACCCCATAACATTTTCTGGCTGTAACATTCTAAAATTTTACAACTGTGCATTAAAGTATAAGCAACATATATTTCTAGTTCAGATATTGCAGACTTCTGAGAGTTGTTCCATCATTTCCTGCGGTTTTTGAGCTACAGCTTCCTTTCCTAATATGTAAATCGTATTATGCTCACTAATTACTAGTCAAGCACACACTATGTATAAGTGAATAACAAGGCAAGTAAGTCAACCAAAGTCCTTTAAAAGAAAAGGGAAAGGGAGTTTCTATGTTTGGTATTATGTGCTGGAATCAAGCAGAGAGAAAAGGCCCATATTCACCATCACAGAGAAAAAAATCTTCTATTTCAAATTCTTTTGGGTGAGGGAGCACCAGGAGGCATAATAGCATCTTTTATTATGTAATGATTTCAAATTTCTAGAAAATAAGAATGAAATTTCACAAGGCTAGCAAACAATTAATGGCCAACATAGCATTTTATATAGTTTAGTTTATTGTCTGATAGGAGAATTTTGCAAGGGGAAAAATCATCTCCTTTATTTTGATTTTAGGTATTCAATAAATAATTGCTTTTTGATTATAGTGATAAAGTATTACATAGCAGTACAGTTTAAACTAGGCATCCTCAAATTATTACTCAAAGGGTCTGATAGTAAATATTTTAGGCTTTGTGGATCACATGGTCTCTGTCATCAACTTCAACTGCCACTGCAGCACAAAATCAGTCACTGACAATACTGATATGTATAGGTGTGGCTGTGATCCAGCAGAACTTTATTTACAAAAACAGGCAGTCTGTCTGGGCCACAGCTGGATGACCATGGATTTATGCAATGCCTCCAAAACATTTAAATGCTTGTAAATAATGGTGAATCTGAGGCAATTACTGAATTAAATATTGTTTTTTCTTGGGGTTAGAATAGACCAAAGGTTAATTATTTTTTAAATGGTTTATATTTTAAAGCAATTCCAAAGAATTTTCACACATACTAACTCATTTTCCACCTTATAAAAATACTTGCAAATAAGTAGATTTGATTATGTTGTGGGGGAGAGTCCACCATGAGTTTAAAATATTTTTCTTTTTCAGTATGGATTTATCAATGTACATTTTAAAGATCTACATATAATTATGAGAAGAGATGCCTCACGACTTTAGCAAAGCATTGGTTACCTATCCCTCCCACCTCCAACATTCATACAGTAGAATTTACTTGAGTAAAAATAAACATCTCAGCACTCACATAATTTAAAATGAAAAAATTCTTTTGCAGGAGAAAACAAAAATACAAATAACCTTTATGCTTTTTAAAACTACAGTCTTAATCAGTGTTTCCTACTTAAAAATGTATTTCTCAATTATGTGACTCTGCAGTGTTTATTTTTATTCTGAGTGCAATGTAGATGTGTTTATTTTAGTGTCTAGAGTATGGAAATGGGGGAGAGGGTAAGATTATAACTTTCTATTTAGCCTCCATATAGCTTGATTAGGATTTACAAGTTATAATTAACAGAGCTCTAAAATGATCTAACAAATACAAGCAGAGTATAAGAATTAACCTGCTCTCTGTTTATGTCTTAACATTCCATTTCCTAATAGCTTTGTGAAGCTATTTCTGAAAGCAGAAAGGCATTTTAGCACCTTAATCATTTTTTATGAAAACTAGATAATAGTTCTCATAAAACTTGGTCACAGGAATATCTCTCAATAGTTTGTACTGAGGCTCATTCTAAAAGCAAATCCACTTTTAGGTACAGTTTTAGAGGTGGTACTGCTTCATCTTTGATCACAAAACAGAATAAACTAAAATTTACAAGAGTACTTCTTGGAAATGCCTATGTTTACATGTGGTAATCAATTAATGACTATGATGATGAGTATTAGATAGGACCCTGACAACCTCTCAAAGCCTAGCCTGTGGTCACTGATCATTCCAAATGCCATCTCTTCTATGAAAACTTTCTCTCAGATGAATCCGTGATTGATATCTCTTATATGCTATCTAGCACTTGTATCCTGCCTTGAATCTCTTAAATAATCTCATTGAACATATACTGAGTATATGATCACCATATAATTAATTATTTGTAATAATGATAAGGGTTGCCTTTACTGGGTGTCTGCAATGCCCAGGCCCTGGAGATAGATGTGGTCCTTAGCCTCAGAGTCATCAGCATGATATGGGAATTAGACAACCAAACACAATGATAAACCAATGAAACAAGTGTGATAAAAGAAATGCAAAGTACTAGAGGCACAGAGAGAAGCAAAAATAGGAGCCCCTATCTGAGACTGGATTGGTTAGGAAAGTTTCTTGAAGATACCGGCTTTAAAGGATGAACAGATCGATGAAGGCTGAGAGCAGTCTAAGTAGAAAGAATAGCATGCCAGAGATGCATGGTGGGCTTCAGTTACTGTGGGTGGTTCAGAAAGGCTGGAGTGATAAGGGCCTGGGGAATAGCAGCAGCAGATGGATGTTTTCCTATCACATTTAGATTTTATCTGAAAGCA